CATGGTTGGGAACACACAAACGATCAAACTTTCCGTACCGGCGGAATACAAGACCCTCGCATTCGTGAAAATCAGGCTGACTGTTGGGGTCAGCCTTGAGCTGCTCAAGGATGGGACTAAGGTCCGGATCCTTGGCGGTGTGTTCGACTAGATCCTCCTTTAATTTCCTCCGGAGGTCATATGAATCYACAAGGCAAGTCAAATACTCAGGATGGCGTGACAAAGCATCAGCAACACGGTTATAGCAGCCTTTCTTATGTTTCAATTTAAAGTTGACGACATCAATATCATGCAGCCAGCGGGTCAGTGTTGGAGAGAGATCAGTTTGTCTTAATCCATTGCAAGGTCTGATGATCTGAGTAGACCTTGAAATGGCGACCCAAGAGGTAGTGCTTCCAATGCGTGAGCGCCTCGCGCAAGGCGTACAGCTCTCGCATATACGTGGAAGTGGCTACMTTGTGGCTGGGCATGCGTTTGCTGTAATATTCAAGCGGACGCAGGTCATCGCCATCATCTTGTTGCAACATTGTGCCAGTCTCAAACTGGCTCGCGTCCGTAGTGACTACGAACGTGAGATTGGGATCCGCAATGCGGAGAGCATGGAACGCAGTCTCACACTTCTCACACCACGCATAGGCAACATTCTTACTTGTTAGTCTCGAGAGCGGGTGAGCAATGACAGAAAATCGAGGCACAAACTTCCGGTAATAAGAAGCCAAACCAAGAAAAGAACGCAGCTCGCATACATTCGTTGGTTGAGGCCAATTTCGGATGACCTCAACCTTGGTTGCCTCCGRCTTAAGGCCGTTTGCAGACAACCGGTGCCYGAGATAGATGACACTGTCCCTTCCAAACTCAGATTTCTCTAAGTTGAGGTGCAGTTSAGCATCTTTGAGGACTTGCAAAACCTCCTCAAGATGTTGGATGTGCTCTTCCATGGACTTGCTGAAAATCAAGATGTCATCAAGGTACACAACCACAAACCTGTTGAGCTGATGGCGGAGTACCTTGTCYATGAGGCTCTGAAATGTGGTTGGCGCATTCGTAAGACCGAAGGGCATAACGATGCATTCGTACAGCCCGTCGCGTGTCTTGAATGCAGTTTTGTGYTGGTCGCTCGGATCGACTTCAATCTGGTGGTAGCCAGACTTGAGGTCAATCTTGGAGAAGACCTTGCATCCACCTGCCGCATCTAGCAGATCATCTATGYGAGGCAAAGGGTAGGCATTCTTTCGAGTGATCTGGTTCARGCCACGATAATCAATGCAYATCCGGAGTTTGCCTCCTTTCTTTGGTACAAACAAGACAAGTGCGCCAAATTCAGACTCACTCGGCCTAATCCATCCACGATCAATCATGTCATCAATTTGTCTCCGCARCTCCTCCAACTCGCCTTGTCCCATACGGTAGACGCAGCCCTTTGGAGGAACACTCCCTTCTATTATTTCGATCTTGTGTTTGACTGGACGCTCGGGGACTCCGCGAGGTTCAGCCAAGACTTCAGGAGATCGATCTAATAGACAGCGAATGTTTGCTGGGATTTCCGATGGAAGATCATCCTCATCAGGGGAAAGAAAATCAGATTGAGAATTTACAGCAATCACAACCGGTTTCGAGGTATTTGGATCAGAAGTAGGTTGATTATTTACAGTAGAAGTAGGTGGAACAGAAGTAGAAGTAGTAGAGGTGGAGTTACTTTCCGAGGTAAAAAATGCAGCAAAAGTAGAAGGCACATGGAGAGGTTTTACAAGAGCTATACGTACAAACTCAATCTCCTTGCGCCAGCGCACTGATTTGCAGAATTTGGTTGCACTAAGAAGAGCCACAAGGGACTCGCGCGTCTCATCCAATAGGACGGTACGCTCGTTCCCCTTGGCATCACGTACCACGAACTGGTTGTCCGCCCACGTGGTCCTTAGGCAATGAGCCTTTAACCAGCCCAAGCCAATGACCGCGTCGAACGGACACTTGTCCATGACTTACAAGTTGAGCTCATGTGTGACAGTGCGGTCCTTGTCAAAGGTGACGCGCACACCTTTGACAGCATGTGTAGAGGTGACAACCACTTGGTTGCCCACATGGGTCTGACAAGGGTTCTGCAGTTCCACTTGCTTCATTCCCAGGCCCGCCTTACGAATCCCGTTAGGAGAAAAGAAATTAGTCGTTGAACCACTGTCAATCAGCACGCGGATGTATAGGCGGTTAATGAGCAGCCTAGAGAAGGTTAGCTCCACACTCCCTTGGACATAGCGCTGCTGCTTGAGCTGCAGCCAATGTTCCATGTGAGCGTGGAAGTCAACTTCCTTAGACTCTTCCCAGGCCAGCCTTACGAATCCCGTTAGGAGAGAAGAAATTACTGGTTGAACCACTGTCAATCAGCACGCGGATGTATCGGCGGTTAATGAGCAGCTTAAAGAAGGTTAGCTCCACACTCCCTTGGACACAGCGCTGCTGCTTGAGCTGCAGCCAATGTTCCATGTGAGCGTGGAAGTCAACTTCCTTAGACTCCTCCCAAGGCTCTGTGCATAACACATGAATTGCAGCAGCCTTGGATTCAGCGTCGTTCCGGACTTCAAGAGTGGGTTGTTGATCAGATTCAGGCTCATCAGAGGGGCCTGCAACTAATGTTCCAGCTTCCCTTGTTGTAGGGAGTGTTGAGGACTCCTCTACGCCCTTTTGTTGTTTCCCTGCAGTCTATAACAGTCCTGCACAGCATGCCCGGGCTTTTGACAATGCAGGCATATGCGCAATTTAGATCTTCTTTCCCATTCCTTTTGACTGATACGGAGGGTTACCCACGGCTTGGTTCATGCATCCTCCGGTTTCTCAGGGATCTTTGCATTCTTTGGGAGGTGGATAACAGTTCCCTTACCTGAACCACGGTTCGGCCCCTTGTTTTAAGCAGTCTTTCTGAAAGCATTAAGCTTTTCGTCTTCATTTACGTCGGACTCAATGGCTGATGAGGAATAGCCCATATCGGAGTCCGGCTCTAGATCGTCATCTAGAGTCAGATCATCCGAATAGGACTGATCTTCAGCCTCCCGATGATCATGCAGTGCAAGCTGGTTGCTGCTTCCAATCCGCTTGCGTTGTGGTTTCCCACCTGCAGCGGGTGCCTTCTTCCGCCTGGCGAGGTCCTTGGCCTCTAGGTTGACTAGATCTGTCATGAACTCTCGCCAGGTGGTATGGTCTTTGAGCGCCAACAGGAGAGGTATTCTTTGGGGGCCACTCCCATGACTACATCCATACAAGACACGTCAGTCATTCCCAGATCAGGAGTGGTGAACAAACCAGTCAAGTGTTGTTCTAAAGCCTRCATRGAGGACCTCCATGTTTGACCTTTGAGGRCCTCAAGCTTCAGCCTAGCCTTGAGCRCAGCATGCTTGTCTTGGTACCGTGCGAGGAGAAGGTCCTCAAGGGTGCGTACAGGGGTTATCTTCAGCCACTCAGTCAGGTCTATTCGTTCATAGCCTGCAGCAACAGCTTGGAGCTCAATGTAGTTCCGTACGGTGGGCTCAGTATTAKTCCCCATGATCATACTTCGATCCTCTTGCGGTGTCCGCATAACCTCGAAGTATGACCTCATGGAGCTAATCCAAAAGGTAACGTCTGCTTTCCCATCGTACTTGGACGGCARCGTGGCCGCCCTCTTGTCCACCGTGGGACCGYTGTACTGAACGCCTGTAAAGACTGTGGCRTTTTGGGCTGATGTCCCTGCATTGGGGACTGTGACCAGCGCAGAACTGTCGGCGTTGCCGCTCATGAAGTTGGCACCGGTTCCTGCGCTTGCCACAGTTCCACTGACCCTTGGCACGATGACTGTGTTGGACTGAGAGACTAGGATTACAGCAGATCGAGGGTTAGGAGGGCGGGGGGCAGACAGTTGAGACTGTTTGAGGCTGGTTATCTCAGCCTGCAGCTCTTGGTTCCTCTGCTCTAGCGCTGTCACACGGGACTCAAGGTTTTCCAAGGTCCGCAGCCGAACCAAGGCTACTACGGCAGCAGCTAGTCCCTCCTGGAACCGGTCAGCATTGGCTTCCGGGATCCGAAGGAGAGCCACCTGATCAGCAATGTTGGCAGCTCTAGCTGCTGCTTCTGCCTCCCTTTCTCTCTGTACTGCATCATCATAATGTTTCTGGAAGAACGGTCTCTCGTTCTCATCTGCTGCATCCAGCATGGTGTGCCATTGGGCAGATGTGATGTTTGCCATGCCGGAGGAAGGGGCGTCAGTAGATCTCTCAAGAGGGGTCCGCTCACTCCTTACGTTTGGACGAACACTCCTCTTGCCCCTCCTCACACTCTCAAACAACACACCTTCTCTCTCCCTTTCTTCTCTTCTTGYTGTTTGCGCACGCGTCTCGATACCGGACATAGATAGTTCAGATGAAGGAAACAAGCAAAAAAGTACACAGAGAAGAAGTAGAACTCCTAGCCGGAGCGGCGAATCATTTGGACTAGAGAATGGCACGCAGCAGAAAAGAATAAACAAATAAATAAATAAATAAAATAAAACAGAAGAGAGGATTGATTTATGGAATGGGCTTGATCAGATTAGTTGGAGATCCCCTCTTGTCTAACCTGACAAGGGACATGCATCACGATAAATCAGTCGAAGGAAAATAACTACAGCAATGGAGATTTCAAGGGGTGCAGACGGTCCCCGAGCGAGACGCGGGGCGGTATGTGATCACATGCGGTAAGACCARTCAAGATCCCCTTGAAAGGAACGCCCTTGCTGTCCGTATGTCCCCCAGGTTCAGCACAGCAAAGAAATGCACAAGCGGCAGCAGATCTGGGCCCGAAAGGTCCTGTCCCATTGGGCCTGGTCCCACTGGTCCCAAAAGGTCCCAAGTAGGTCGTGGACCAGGTCTAACGAGACAAGGGTACCAAGTCAGTCCCAAACTGTCCCYACCGTACTGAAAAGGAAAAGGCAACTTTCAGCAAGAACTTACCCCTACTACCGTTCAGAAGTGAACAGACAATGCACTGTAGAAAGATAAGTCATTTAGAACAAGATACATCATCCATTCATTCATCAGGTGAGGAAGCAATCCACATGCTCAACACACACAGCCAAGACTGCAGAGAAGAGGAAAAGAGCCCAGTTACAACCCCAACAGGCCATGAAGTACCAAGCAACCCCCCGTGGGCATACCCAAGTCACACGGCACTTACCTGTGAGGTCAGGCCTCCAAAGATGATTAGCGAGTCACCCCCCTCTCTCATGAGTCCTCCTGACCCCTAGCTACCACTACACGAAGTGTCCTAGCATAACTAAGAGGGCCTTCCTACACCCCTGTTGCAACCGGATCCCCCGTCGATGTCTGAAGACCAAAGTAGCAACTTGCAGCAATCCGATGCAGATATGGCAGCCTCCGATCAGGTCTCCCTCTTGAGGGGAAGCCCAAAAGTCACTCAATGTCTTACTGAAGTCCAGATTCCAGGTGCGAGTACCTCTCACTCTCTACTCCCTCTCGCTTACTCCAATCAGCCTCCTTTGTGTCTCGCCACCCCATACATTCACTCAAGCAACCTGGTTGGGTCCAATGTCAACCCTACATGACCTAACCAGGTGGGGGCAGCATCCCCATACCTCGCTGCCCCACTTAACCCTAACTTCCCAACCCTAATCCGAGATTAGGTTAGCCCTAACCTAATT